ATTTTGGTATCACTGCTGGATCTTGGTCTTCTGTTATGAACTGCTCCGAGACATGGAGATGAAGATCCAAATGCAGCTTCATTTAAGAATAGTCATACAGGCAGGGTCAAGAATCGTCAGACAGGACAATGGAGAATAAACAGAGGAAATCCAAGAAACAGGCAGAGGTCAGGGCTGGCAGCAATAATCAGAGTCCAAGACCAGCTCAAAGTCAAACACAGAAAAACAAACATGGGAAACCGCTCAGAAATGCAGACACTCAGTACAACAAGACTTCGCAATAAGTGAATGTGAAAACCAGGTATTTATGGTGTGCCCTAAAAGAGATAATGAGAAACAGGTGAATGAGATGAGTGCTGATGAGTCCGGGCAGTGAGTTATGGGAAATGTAGTTTGTAGGTGAAACATGATCGTCAGGTGTGGAGTGCCCTGTGGAGTGTCAGAATCAGCACGGTCTGTGATTGTTGTAAAATTCTGTCTCTACTGTTGCTAAATAGTAGCCTGACTTCGTCATACTCATATTCTGGTCAGAAGATGAGTCCGAGACCGCTCTGTATGGCTTTGATTATGAGGCGTGTCTTAACCGAACCAGGAAAAAAAACTCTGCACTCAATTGGATAGTTGGACAAACCTACAACCAATCAGAGCAACGCAGTAAGTCAAATACTTTGCATAGCATAGTTGTCAACAATAGAGCTTACTTATTTTAGAAGTAAAATAAAGAGTGTTGCTTCTTTCATTTGGTCCTTCATGAGTGCGACCAAAGGAGAACCCACAACGATCACATGCTTTTCATTACGTCCCATCTTCTTAACTTAGTGACCGTCAGAGCTAGCTGATAAGTTACATTTTTGCCGAATATCTTTCTGATCGACAAATGCCTTGATTGCAGTTTTCTGTTTGTCTATTAAAATTAATGTGCTGTCGATTAATTTTAAAAACAGACGCGACAGCGGAATCTATACATCTCAATTCTCCAGCTGCAGTCATCTCTGAGGGAAACAAGTTAGCGCTCTTTGATAACGTGATGATTTCGTCCCTGCAGATCATCTGTCCATCGTCGTATAAAGCCCGCCCTGGCAATCTGATTGGCCCGATCATTTTTTGCCTGATCATAATTAGTCCTCAATGGATCGAGTCCAGACCGAACTTCCCGACCAAAAAATGTTGTGGGCGGAGTTTGGGCTGGCATCCAGGCTAGCTAAATAGAGGATGCGTTTGATCATAAAAATGGCTATTAAAAGCACAAAAACCTGCGTAAGAGATCCTTCACAAGGCGGCACACGCTCCGAAATGGACTAGAAAGAAAGAAAAGTATACTTTTGGCTTTGTGTGGGCTAAACTAGAGATTAGGGTATTTTATTAATTCTGGACATCATATTTTCCCTTGGTCTACGGTAAAAATATCATAACATTCATGATCAATGATTATGAGCAAGGTAACGAAATCTACAGTTTAAGGCAGTAACTTGTAAGCACACAGCACAAGACAATTGTATGTAAAATCAACCAAGACTTTATTAAACTATTCTAATAGACACAAACTAATCTAACAAAAACATACATTCATTCAAACAGTGACAGAAAAGGTAATGTAATTAACGGAGTATGAATGGAGTCCCAAATTTCTAGCATTAGCCACTATTTCTTGACCGCAACCTGAGAGAATCAAAATACTAGTAATTCAACCTTCGTTCGTTTGCTTAATAGGAATTTCACCAGTTTAGCATTACATTTGCATTTATTCATTTAGCTGACGCTTTTATACAAAGCGACTTACAATTGCTGTATATGTCAGAGGTCGCGCGCCTCTGGAGCAACTAGGGGCTCAGTGTCTCGCAGTGGATTCGAACCCGGGTCTCTCACACCAAAGTAATGTGTCTTATCCACTGCGCCATCACCACCCCTAGAATTAGGAGATTGTGTACTTGTGTTTGGATGCTCCCGTGAGCGCATGCGTTCCCTTCTGTGACAAGCTTTCTGGCGGGAAACTCTTCGGCTCTGATTGGCTGGCAGTCAGTCGATGACGTGTTCTGAGGGACAACACTCGATGGTGAATGGTTGGTTGGCTTTGCCGGGTGCCGCTTCGTGTGTCGGTTTCCTGAATTGAGGGTTGCTATGCAACAGAGTTTCCTCAGAGTCTGGAGGAGCTGCTGGAGTGACTCTGTGAGGGTTTTTTGAAGAGCATGTAAGTGTACGCGCTGGATGATGAAAATGTCCGTACAAAATCAAAGCAAGATCAAAAGTCACTGCAATAGTTAGGCAAAAAGCAACCCAGAGCTGCTTGTCATTGGGTTATAAGTGTGTCCATCCGACTTGTCCTTCCAAGTGTGTCAGCCATTTATATTATATTGTCTTGGGTGGGACCTACTCCCCGCTCTACGGTTCTTGCATGTAATTGGCATACTTTTCGCATGATTGTGTACTCTCAAACATCTAAGAGTTTAGTAAAACACTTCAATAAGACTTTCACTAAATTTCATAGTTTAAATACACAAGTCTACTTTATATCAAAATTCTAGAAATTGTTTACCTATCAAGTAGTTACCAAATAACATATTTCCCATAGTTGAGGTAGGAGTTAATAAGGATTTAGCTATGATAAATGTTTAAGTGATATAAAGCATACATAATACAGATCATATTATATACCTGTATGAGGTAACTTCTGGGGATTAGTTCTTATAACTGAGGTCAAAAAACCTAAGAATAGGCAGTAACAACTGTTAAACACACAAAAAAAACTTAACAGGTTATATAAAACATACATGATACATAAGATATATGTGAGGTAAAAACTGGCGATGAATTCAGCTTATTGGAAGCAGTTTTGAGGTCGTTGTTGGTTAGAAACCACGAGTGGGTTAATTTCATTCTATTGGTTTTGGAGACAAAAGTCTCTAGAATTTACAGCTTCAGAAAGGAGGTGTCCCTGGTTTAAGGTTTGTGGTGATTCAGGGCCATGGGAATGCCTTAGCACCCTTCATTTCCTGATAAGGGTATGAATTTATGCATTGGGGTCACCACAGGATTTCTTGGCCATTTGCTCTTAAGTTTTGGGAACAAAGAGAATATTTTCGTGCTGTCCTGGCATCGCTGGTGTAAGATTAGATAGGCACAGAAAAGGGAGAGGGGGGTGACATCTTCTTTAGCCATCTTGGCAACATGAATGCGTTTTATGACTTACTAATGGTGTGATGGGGAATCGTCCTGAACCGTGGAATACAGTGTTGTTTATTAAATGGATTAGAGCGTTGACTTCGGTTTTCCAAGTCATCAACTTTATCCATCAGGTAAATGTTGTCCTGCCCCAGCTGTTGAACACCTGTGACACACTCCTGCACATTGTCTTCATTAGCCCCCAAGCGCTGCTATAGCAAATTGAATTGTTCTCGCAAAGTATTTAATGTCTTGATATGTTGAATGGTGTCCCACAATTTATAATGAGATGTGATGCTCCTCCATTGTAGCAAAGATGCGAAAGAATAAACAAATCTCGTAGCTATTTAGAATAAATTAGTTGATGCCTAACTTAATAAGAGTCGGTTTAGGTCAAAAGCATATAGATCAGGATAAAGGAAAATTAACAACCCTATATGACGCTTTTCCACTAAGCGGTGCCAGCTCGACTCGGCTCGCCTTTGTTTGGTTTTCCACTGTGTAAAAGTTGTACCTGTACCTGCTTTCAGGTACTTTTTTTTGTACCACCTCCGGCGAGGTTCTGAGAGCCAAGGCGTTACAAAAATCATGTCACGTGAAAACAATGCCGACTGCTGATTGGTCAGAGAGAATCGTCACCATTCATGTGTCATCATTACACGTACCAGATAGAGTATCCATGGTAACCCCGCTATTTTTAAATAGTTTGAGCAGAGATAGTCACTAAACTTACTACTATTATTATGGCAACTCGGAAGAATACGCCGTGGTCAAAAGAGGAGGTGCAGACTTTCCTTTATTTGGTTGCCCAAGAGAGGATCCAGCGAGAGCTTGATGGGGCAACGAGGAACGAAAGGCACCGCTATGATGACCGGGTACTATTTGTGGAGGAACTGTCTGCAATGGAAAACGGAACGAAAAGCTAGCCGAGTCGAGTCGAGTCCAGCTGGTACTGGTAATGGAAAAGCGCCATATGATAAGAGAGACATGCAGACGTGAGACTGAGAAACGTTAAGTCACACTCTAACTACTTTAAAAGAGTTATAGTAAACAATGAAGATCCACATGTGTCTCTTAAAGTTTCCTTTATCCATAAAGCTCTTCCTGAATTGATCTCATGTGTAAGGTTCTCTCTGGTTCTCCCATCAGGTCTATAAGAAACATTAAATCATGTGACATTTCAAATGAGAGAAACAATATGAAATAAAAAGATCAAGTCAAGATCATTGATGAGTTCAATAGTCATTTTAAACCAATCAAATCTGGTTTGAGGAAGGTTCAATTTCACATTTAGGAAACTGGACATTTGTATGTTCTTGGAATGTTACAAATCAACGTTCGTAGAATTTTTAAGTTAAATTGAAATTGTTGAAAGTACGTTTGAGTAACATTATACCTTTTAAAATACATTCCTCTAACTTCAAGAAAACTGGAAATAATTTACGTTCCCAGAACCAACATTCTGAATATTTGGAGAACGTTCTTATTTTAAAAAGTCAGTAAGCCGGGGAACTAATTACCGTGACTGCTGTGATGTGGTTTTTCCACTGTATGGATCTTCATGTGTTGTTTCAGGTGAGTTTTAATAGAGAAACTCTTTCCGCACTGATCACACGTGTGCGACTTCTCTCTGCTGTGGATTCTCTCGTGTTTTTTTAGAGATGATGACTGACTGAATCTCTTGTCACAGTGTGAACACTTGTAAGGTTTCTCTCCAGTGTGGATCCTCTCATGTGATTTCAGATTTGATGATCGACGAAATACCTGGTCACAGTGTGAACACTTGTAAGGTTTTTCTCCAGTGTGGATCCTCTCATGTGTTTTCAGAGATGATGACTGACTGAATCCCTTTCACAGTGTGAACACTTGTAAGGTTTTTCTACAGTGTGGATCTTCTCATGTTTTTTCAGATATGATGACTGACTGAATCTCTTGTCACAGTGTGAACACTTGTAAGGTTTTTCTCCAGTGTGGATCCTCTCATGTGTTTTCAGAGATGATGACTGACTGAATCTCTTTTCACAGTGTGAACACTTGTAAGGTTTTTCTACAGTGTGGATCTTCTCATGTTTTTTCAGATATGATGACTGACTGAATCTCTTGTCACAGTGTGAACACTTGTAAGGTTTTTCTACAGTGTGGATCTTCTCATGTGTTTTCAGATGTGATGACTGACCGAATCTCTTGTCACAGTGTGAACACTTGTAAGGTTTTTCTCCCGTGTGGATCTTCTCATGTGTTTTCAGATGTGATGACTGACTGAATCTCTTGTCACAGTGTGAACACTTGTAAGGTTTTTCTCCAGTGTGGATCCTCTCATGTGATTTCAGATCTGCCGACTGATTAAATCTCTTGTCACAGTGTGAACACTTGTAAGGTTTTTCTACATTGTGGATCTTCTCATGTTTTTTCAGATCTGCCCACTGATTAAATCTCTTGTCACAGTGTGAACACTTGTAAGATTCTTCTCCACTGTGGATCTTCTCGTGTGTTTTTTGATATGATGACTGACGGAATCTCTTGTCGCAGTATGAACACTTGTAAGGTTTTTCTCCGGTGTGAATTCTCTGGTGCCGTTTTAAATGGCTTGCTAAAGAAAAAGTCTTCTCACACTCAAAGCACATGTACTCTCTCACACCAGTGTGAGTTTTCTGATGTGTATGTAAATATTGCAGCAGTGAAAAACTCCTTCCACACATAGAACATGAATGTGGCTTCTCCTTCATATGAACTGTCAGGTGTTTCTTCAGGTGCGATACCCGATTAAATGTTTTGCTGCACTGATCACAAGTGAACGGCTTCTCTCCAGTGTGGATTCTCATGTGAACATTAAGAGATGATGATCGACAGAAACTCTTTCCGCACTGATCACATGTGAATGGCTTCTCTCCAGTGTGGATTCTCATATGTTTCTCAAGATATTGTTTGGTTGTGAAACTCTTTCTACACTGAGTGCAGGTGAAAGATTTTTTGGCTCTTCTTTTCTTTAAAAATGCATTTTTAGTCTTTGAGCGACAAGAGGGTTTTCCAACAGGCAGGACATGCTGTTCCTCCTTCACTTCTCTCAGTTCTTCTCTCTCCTCCTTCACTTCTCTCAGTTCTTCTCTCTCCTCCTTCACTTCCATCAGTTCTTCTCTCTCCTCCTTCACTTCTCTCAGTTCTTCTCTCTCCTCCTTCACTTCTCTCAGTTCTTCTCTCTCCTCCTTCACTTCTCTCAGTTCTTCTCTCTCCTCTTTCACTTCTCTCAGTTCTTCTCTCTCCTCCTTCACTTCACTCAGTTCTTCTCTCTCCTCCTTCACTTCTCTCAGTTCTTCACTCTCCTCCATCGGGTCTGACATGAAATAATTTTGATTGTCAGTACAAAAAAAGGTTAACAAAAGTAATATGAAGTTTAAGGAGATAAAAAGAAAAGCTCACCAAAACTGGACAGTTGAAGACTGGAAAAATGTTGTCTGGTCTGATGAGTCCCGATTTCTGTTGAGATATTCAGATGGTAGAGTCAGAATTAGGCGTAAACAGAATGAGAACATGGATCATCATGCCTTGTTCCCACTGTGCAGGCTGCTGGTGGTGGTATAATGGTGTGGGGGATGCCAATTGGGGTGCCAATTGGGCATCGATTAAATGCCACGGCCTACCTGAGTATTGTTTCTGACCATGTCCATCCTTTTATGGCCACCATAGACTCATCTTCTGATGGCTACTTCCAGCAGGATAATGCACCATGTCACAAAGATCGAATCATTTCAAACTGGTTTCTTGAACATGACAATGAGTTCACTGTACTAAAATGGCCCCACAGTCACCAGATCTCAACCCAATAGAGCATCTTTGGGATGTGGTGGAACGGGAGCTTCGTGCCCTGGATGTGCATCCCACAAATCTCCATCAACTGCAAGATGCTATCCTATCAATAGGGGCCAACATTTCTAAAGAATGCTTTCAGCACCTTGTTGAATCAATGCCATATTGAATTAAGGCAGTTCTGAAGGTGAAAGGTGTCAAACACAGTATTAGTATGGTGTTCCTAATAATCCTTTAGGTGAGTGTAAAGACAGTTCACTTCGTGTATACAGGCGGCGCCATCTTTGGAAAACAGTCTCGACTAGTCAAACCACGAACATCTTGCTGAGTGATCTGAACTGTATGAAGTTCAGCGAACTTCTGAACTCTATGAACGGCGTTCGGGGATCGACTTATCGAGACTATTTTCTAAGACGGCTCCTGTCTGTATACACGAAGTGAACTGTCTTTATAAAGTATCTTCTTATTAAACGGTCTGTACACTTACAAAGTTCTCAATGCTTTGTTTTGCATGCAGGGACCCTCATTAGCCACATTTCCACTGCCAGGCTAGGGCTGGGCCAGAGCTAACAGGGAGCCGAGCCAAGATAGTGGCCTCGGGCCTCAAGCACCGGGCTTGCGTTTCCACTGCAGGGCCAGTAGCCCCGCAGCGCTGCCCTAAACCCCACCCCTAACACGCCTTTCTGGATCAAACGTCATACAACCCAACCCTATTATGAATTAATTTATTTTTTAAGTTAGGAAGATAGCATGTATATTTACTCACCGGCCGTTGCTGCAATAGTGTCCCGATTGTCAAGTCGAACCATGGAAAAATCATTCTCTGAACTCCGCTTTGTCCATTGTGCATTTTAATCGCCTTGTACAATACTGCGCCCGTAACTTTTGTATTTTTTTCCTGAACTTGAAGCATTGCTAATATAAAAAAAGTGAAATGTGCATCTTGCTTCAGATCATAATGTTCCATAACACCGATAAACTCCGCCTTTTACTTTGAGCACGCCTCTAGCCCGAGCTGACCCCCTCTGGCCCAAGGTATTCGACGGGCCAGAAATCCTGGCTGTTGGCCCCGAGTAAGCCCTGATCAAGACCCGGAAGTGACAGTGGAAACGCGACTGGCTCTGGCACGCACTAGCACAGCTCGGCCCTGGCCCGGCAGTGGAAACGCCGCTAGTATGTTACTGTGTTAGTATGGGGCTACTTTGAGCCTTGTTAGTGGTATAAACTAGCGATTTCTTTTTACTTAGTCAATGCCCCCATTACTAGCGTTATACGCTAAACATTTTTTAGAAATAAAACTCTTTACATTCGATTAACATGAAAACAAATCTCAGAGAACGGTTCAATAGATACCGATGTTTTATTAGACCAAAGGTTCATTTTGCACCGGAGTTCTCCTTTAATACTGTAAGAGCATTTGATTCCCGAGATGCAGAAAACAGGATGGAATCACAGAATCCAGTCACTAATGGAACTTACTGTATAAAACGCAACCAGTATTGAATTGTGGGATGAATAAATCAAAAGAATCAGATATCGATACGGACTAGTGCCTGTGAATATTAAAGCTCATAAAGTGTAAGGCTGAAATAACCTCAGATACTTTGAACTTCTGAGATACATGAACATGAATGTTCTCCAGCATCATGAATGAATGAAGAATAAACACCAACCTCTTTGTTCTTCAGGATCTTCAGTGTGTTTCATTCTACAGGGTTCTGGATCACTCATGTTCTCACTGTCCTCTTTAATAAACTGCAGATTTCAGCTCTTCCTGATGCTCTGATGATCGTCTTCACTTGCAGCTGATAGGAATTTACAGCATTTATAGGGGAATTACAGTAGGAGGAGCTTCACTGATGATGTAATTGCTGTGGGAGGAGCTGATGTGTCCAAATCAAAATTATATATCACTTACTGAGTTTGTTTTAATAGGGTCAAAGACCAGCAGTTTAATTTTAGAGTGATATTACATGTATTTATTTATATACATAGAAAATCCAGTAAATGCAAGTGTAATGTTTGAAACAACTTTTGTGAAAACAAATTGCCAGTAAAATAGGTGAAATAATGTTGGATTCATTCAGCATAACATATATATGTAAAAATGAAACAGCATAATTATTTTTAAGTATAATTACTTTTTTTTTTTTAGAAACTTATAAAAGAATAGGAGATCATACTATATGTAATTATTTTTAAATGATAAAAAACTTCTTGCTGACAAAAAAGTGGTTTAAAGGATAGTGGCAAAAGTATTATACTGAAAAGTATGTTGGAGCTGCACTATGATCCTAATATGCAGTTTTTGAATGTAATCAAATGATTATTGTTCTAAATATGCCTGGAAATAAAATAAAACTACTCTGCACATTTAAGAACACACACAGATAAATATAATAATGTTAGAATTAGAAATAAAACTCTCTTTAGATATATATATATATATATATATATATATATATATATATGCCTGTCAATCGTAAAACAATTTTTATTTCTAATTCTAACATTAAAGAACTGTAAGAAAAAACATTTAAAAGCATAAAAGACAAATAAGATGCTAAGCAACAAATCCCCTTAGCTGCTGACACCAATGAAATGAGATTTAAGTGACAATTTACAGTCATGTGAAGACAGCATAATAAGTTTAACTGTAGTTTAACTGTGTGTTGTTAAAGAGGGCAAGCTTTATCATTTAACTGAGCTGTGAATGCGTTTTAGACACTTACATTGTTCTTGCTCCGTCAGTGCAAAAACTCCGTCCATGTTATGAGCCGAGTTTTTTATTTACTTTAACTGCTCAGTGCTCTGGTATTATCAATGGGATTACGTATTTCAGGTGTTGCTATTCACATTTAAAATCAGAATATTAGCATAGCTCACTTACATTCACAGAAATATTGAAATGTTAGCGATACTGATACAAAACACGAGCGCCATGATTGAATGTCAACAACGCGCGGTTTGAACGTCCCGCCCCCTAGCCGAACAAAAAGTTTTGATTGGTTTTGCACCCAAGTCAGACCTGTCTGTTATTGGCTGAAGTGCTTCAGATCTGTCTGTTATTGGCTGAAGTGCTTCAGCGCAGTGCCCCCCTCCCCTTTTTTTTGTTTACTGTCTATGCTGCTTTTCCCTCATTGGATTTTAGCGTCGAGTATTATGAGGTGAAGAGAGCAGTTCACGGTATTTCTCAGCTTTACACACCCATCACACACACTTTATACAGTTAGATTAAGAGACAGACTCAGTTCTGTATTGTTTTCATCGATCACAGCGATACTTTTGCATCTTTTCTGGCGTCTTCCTCCTTAAATAAACTTAGTGCAGCAGAAGCGAGCCTGAGGAGAATATGTGGAGTTCATTCAGACCTGAGCGAGTGTGTGTTAGTTTGTCTGATTGTTACAAGTTAAAATTCAAAGTTTTATTATCTGGGAATCAGTTTCAATTTTTTTTAACTGGAACAGATAGCCTACTACTAAATGCTTTATTGAGCTTATAAGTCATATGAGGTATTAAATCAATAATACAATGCCATAGCGTTTTATTTTTGGAATAGTGCTTTGTTTGTGGTGTTCGATCTTTATTTTCAAAAGTTTTATGATAATTAGAGTTTCTGTTATTATTTTAAATGATCCAGCTACTTTTTATGAATAATGTTATAAGATCAAACCCAGATAGCAAACTGACATTGAATCAACGTGGAAATATGACATCGAAACAACGTTGATATGACATTGTTTTGCTCATCGAATTAACGTTGAACCAATGTCAGATGCGTCATTCTTTCAAAACTAACGGAAAATCAACTTGAAATCAACTCGTTGTTTCAACGTTATGAAAGCAAACCAATTTTCGATTTCATTTAGCTTTGAAGAATGCCGCGTCTGACGTTGGTTCAACGTTAATTCGATGAGCAAATCAACGTTGTTTCAATGTCATGAGAGACGTCGTTTCCACGTTGATTCAATGTCAGTTTGCTGTCTGGGAACTCTATATTTAGATTAATTTGGTCATATTATGCTGCTGTAATTATTTATATGTAGTGGTTTGTGAAGATGAGTGTCTTTAGTAGGCCTAATTGTTTTTGTGTTATTTATGTTTTTAATCCATGGTGTAGTGAGAAATAACAGTATTGCCTTTCAGTGTAGCAGGTTTTTTGGCTTTTATATCCTGACTCAAATAATATGTTTCTAACAGCAAACACTCAGAATAAAGTGAGATGATCTGCTGATGATCCTGAATGGCTTGTTGAATGAGTGTTGATAGTCTGAGGATCATCAATATTAACAGATCTGCTGAAAACACTCTTTATTTCATGACAATAGTTCCTGTTTTCACCTCATTTATTATGCTGATGTCTTCAGATCTCCTGTAAATTGACACTTAAAGCTCATTTCATTGCTGTCAGCAGACAGCTTAGTAATAATATACACTATTTATATTATATTGTCCATGAGCATAAAAAACAAACTGTAACTTGTATATTTTTGATTTTGGCAGATCAGCTCCTCCCACTAGGGCTGGGTATTGAGACAAATTTCACAATTCGATTCGATTTCGATTCACAAGCTTGCAATTCGATTCGATTTCGATTACGATTCGATTCAATTCAATATCGATTATTTTGGATATCAGTTACAATAAATGGCAATTTTTCTCAAGGGGAATCAAATCTCTTAAATGCTGTGAACTATGGTCTATAGTCTAGTTGTAGCCTACTAGGCTTCATTAGCCTAATATGAAGGTAATACTTAACTGTTTTGTAGCTATACAAACACTTAAATTACACTTTTATTTATTTTTATAATAAGAAGATTATATGAAATATAAACATTTAAATGGTGGCTGTCATAAAAACTTGCCAGATTTATTCAAATATGCATTAAATATTGAAGAACACTAACGAGTGTGGACTAACGAGTTTATGTGTGTTTTCTGAGGTAAATATGACGATAAATGACATTGATTACAAGCTGTTTAACTGACGTCTTTCCAAGGTTGAAACGCAGATTGAGCGAATCAATGTGAAATGATAGGGATTTAGATAAGTTGTACTCTATCTTTTAACACACTTTCAGATGCTCATTCATGTTTATTTCGCGCTGTAGCTTGTATTATTAATCCGGAAGAGAGATCAGCGCTGCTGCTTCTCTGGAGCTGCGCCAGAGCGATCTCACGCCACAGCGCCAAAACGGCAAAACGCTATTTATGTTTTTGAATTTCTAAAGAAAATGGACGTAATTTGAAAATTGAGACTTTGTTTCATATCAATAGTAACAAAGGACAAAGATTATTGCGAATTGTTGGATGCGCGCAGCCGCGATACAATATCTCATTCATTCAAATGAAACAGGATGACTAATCGATTCTTGAGATTTAAGAATCGATATCAGTTTGTAAAAATGAGAATCGATTAATATCGAGAAATCGATATTTATTACCCAGCCCTACCTCCCACACTGTAATTATTCATCAGTGAAGCTCCTCCCACAACAATTACACTGTCAGTGAAGCTCCTCCTACAGAAATTACATCATTAGTGAATCTCCTCCCACTGGAGTTCAGCAATAAATGCTGTAAATTCCCATCAGCTACAGGTGAAGATGAGCATCAGAGCATCAGGAAGAGCTGAAATCTGTAAAGAATGAGTTTATTAAAGAGGACATTGAGAACATGAGTGATCCAGAACCCTGCAGAATGAAACACACTGAAGATCCTGAAGAACAAAGAGGTTGGTGTTTATTCTTTATTATAACGAGGACATTTTCAGTAACTAATGCAACCGAAACTAAACAGCGTCTAGAAAGGCTTTCACTCAGCGCGCAGTGCCGCGCACATTGTTACGACAACACGCTTTGAGTGAGTCATTCAACGAACACGTTCAAAAAAGATGATTCATTAAAAGAGATGTAATGAAACAAGGTGTTAATTTATTTTTAACTTTAAGTTCCACATTTCAAGGCTCGGTTTGTCTTTTTATAAAATTTAAAAAAAAAAAATTTGTGAAAAAATATTTAAAAGCTGAAACATATTTACAATATGTGCTTAGGGGTGGGCCGGGGATGGCAGGGGTAGATGGCAATGTAAGTTTCTGGATATTTTCCGCGGAGCGAAGGGGTCCGATTACCTCTCTCTTTTTTGACCATACATGTGTTTGCATCCATACTCGCTGGGAATACTACCTTTATAATGTAGTATTCCCAGCGGCTTCCTCGCGCTGTGGGATGTTGACCAGCGCTGCTGCTGACGTGCATTTATGGGAAATACCCGTGACGTGGACGTTAAAATGATGATACAACAAATATTTCACTTTCCTCCTTTGTCACCGCAACCTTTCCACGAATATGACATCAAAGACAGACGCAGTTAATTGCACGCACTCTGCCGATCTCTCTCATTCACTGTCTGTGCGAAGCCTCTGTAGGCTAAAAATCACCATGATAAACAGTCTTGCTATCATTATGAACTTGTTTAACATTCAGTAACATGCCGGAAGTTCAAAACAAGAAGGGTATTGCCTTATAAAAAAAAACGTGAATATCTCGTTTGCTGCGGTTTCTTGCAATCCTGACTTGGCAGTAGCGCGGTACTAAGATTGTGGTTATTGCGAATTTGCGACAGCCCTAATAGGCGAAAATGTCTTTGTAGTGTTGAGAAGGAGAACTAAATGGTCGTTTTTTGGTTTTTGGCGCCTCTTTTTTCGCGCATGTTCTTAAAGAGAAAGAATCAGCTTGTCACTATAAATCGCTATTTTTCTGCACTAATCTAGTGAATTTTCCCAAAGATATATTCAGAGATGATAGACAAGATGTCATAGAATAATAATTTATTGAAAACCCAAATTTGACAATAAACTGACCTTCAATCTATTTTTAGACTTAATAAAAATGTTCAAGCGCGACATCCTACGGGTTTTCCCAGATCGCATCACAATTGTGTCATTGAGCAAACATATTTAATAGTTCTCACTACAGAAACATGGGATTTGTGCCTATGATGTCTAAAAACAATAACTGGAAGATCAGTGTACTTCATTCATGGAAAGTTTCAGGGATGTATAATTCATTTATAGAAATACATAAATTATTGTATTATTTTATTGCAGTTGTCTGTTACATCTGGGATCATTTTAATCTTCATTCACTCCATATTTCTCTCTTTGAATTATTTTTATTATTTAGAAAAATTTAAAATGAGAGTTTTTCTTTCATGTCAGACCCGATGGAAGTGAAGGAGGAGAGAGAAGAACTGAGTGAAGTGGAGGAGGAACATCATGTCCAACCTGGAGAAAAACGTGCGAGTTTCTCAAAGACTAAAAATACATTATTAAAGAAAAGAAGAGCCAAGAAATCTTTCACCTGCACTCAGTGTGGAAAGAGTTACACAGCCTACCATAATCTTAAGAGTCACATGAAAGTTCATACTGGAGAAAAGCCGTTCACATGTGATCTGTGTGGAAATAGTTTAAAAACCAAACGAAATCTTGAGTTTCACATGAGGATCCACACTGGAGAGAAGCCGTTTTCATGTGATCAGTGCGGGAAGAATTTCAGTCATTCATCTTCCCTTAATGTTCACATGATGATCCACACCGGAGAGAAGCCGTTCTCATGTGATCAATGTGGAAAGACATTTATCTGGGCATCAAACCTGAAGAAACACCTGAGAGTTCATATGAAGGAGAAGCCACATTTATGTTCTGTGTGTGGAAAGAGTTTTTCACGGCTGGATTATTTACTTGCACATCAGAAAACTCATACTGCTGTGAGAGAGTACATGTGCTTTGAGTGTGAGAAGACTTTTTCTTTAGCAAGCCATTTAAAACAGCACCAGAGAATTCACACTGGAGAAAAACCTTTCAAGTGTCCACACTGTGACAAGAGATTCAGTGCGTCATCAAATCTGAAAACACACGAGAAGATCCACACTGGAGTAGGGCTGGGTATCATAACAAAATGTTCGATACCGATACCTTGACTTCGATACCGGTTCCTGAACAATACCTTTTTCGATACCAATTTTATGTAACCAGTTTTAACAATATAATATTACCTGCATTTTTATTTTATTTTTCAGTTTGTTGACTTTTTCACACTCATATTTTGAGTATGTAAAATAGCACCAACGCTAAAGTTTTCTAATCATTTAACAACATGTTTTCTTTACTTCAATGAGCTCATTGTTTCTGCCTAATCTTAATGCATTGTTTAACAATGAAACTGAATGAAAATTAATTGAAATGCATTACACTGTCACCTCTGATAACAGATCATCGCTCTAAATTGTAATTTAGAAACATGCATTTTCTGTATAGTTGCTTTGAAAAGATATGTATTGTGAAAAATGCTATACAAATAAATGAGAATTCGATTAAATAAAGGCTACTGGGGGGCGGGATTTATGCCTCACGTTCAGCACACATGAAGCTTGCGGCAAAGCACCGTGTTTTACCGGTCATGGTGGCAATTATCCTGTCGAAAATATTGCATCGAGTCTGGCACATAGGTACACTTTGGATCATTTCCACATATTTTCTATCCATCTGGGTTGGGAAGCTTACACGCGCACACACACGTGCGACGAGCTGTGTCTCTGAGCAGCTGCGTAAATCGCCACAGCCAATCATGCTGCGTACTTATTGTTTCACTGACGTTGAAGAGGTTAAACACTTAGGTACTGAAATTTGGTAACTAAAAACAAGACATGTTTCGATACTCGGTAGTACCGAGGCAATTCAGTCAGTACCTAAAAAGTACCGAACTCGGTACCTAAAAAGTACCGAACTCGGTACCCAGCCCTACTGGAGAAAAACCTTAGTGTGAAAAGTGTTCTCACTGTGACAAGAGATTGAATCAGTCACCACATCTGAAAAAATCATGAGAGGATCCACAGCAGTCTATTTGCTTTGCCCTCTAAAGACACGTGCTGACCGCATATTAATCCTCTGGGGTCGGCAAACGCGCCGACGCGTTTTGGTAGATTTTTTTTCACATAGCAGAAAAATAGACTCAAACTACTCCATCATTTTTGGTCAGACAGAGTTATATGACAAGAGAAATATGTCAAATAAACTATTAAATGTCTACTTTTTGTATGTGCCCACCTACAATCGAAATAAAATATTGTGCTTTTGTAAAATAAAGAAAATAAACAGGGTGTGTGTTCTGTCTCTCCATCTCCATGAACTTTTTTTCTGAGGCACGTCTCTAAATTTAAACAAAACTCAGCGAATACTATTCACCAATGAATGATCAATATATGTTTATAATCATTTAAGTTTGTACTTTTTAAATTATCTTATATAAAACTAAAAGAAATATTCTCTGTTTATGTAATCTATATAAAAAGACAGCGATATCAGCCTTTCTCATTATCGTAGCTCATTATTTTCCTAATGTGACATGCCCACGGAGAGCGCGCTCAATTCAAACGCAGATGATCTGAAGCAACACATTGAGACGTGTAAACGCCCACATAAACTCGGTAAACACACTATTTTTAGTCAGATTAATGTACTGTCGTCTTGTGAGGCTGAGGATCTGTAATCCTGGGATATTTACCTCAGATCAATTGCTGGCTATTTTCACTTTGAGGAGCGAGGAGTTGAGAATTTTGTAAGTGTTTTATTCTTGTGCATTGTTCTAATCACAATATATATAATAACCTTAGTGTCTGTAAACACAAAAATAGTATTGTTTAAATTTGAATCATGTTTTTGTGTGTGTGTGGAATTAATAAATGAACAAAGAGATGCACAGTGTTACTAAATAAAAGACCTCATTTTCTTGACTAGTTTTGGATATATTATAAATTTTTTTATTATGACAGGTTTCAAAAACAATGAATGAAATAATGATAGAAATAACGTCTCGTCTGTATTAGAAAAATAAATACATAAATAACTAAATGAAATGCCTCCAAATTGAACAAAAATAGCTTTCACAAATTTACAAAAGCAAACTAACAAAATATATTGCCTGAAGTGCTTCAGATTTGTCTGTTATCCACAAGTTTCCTACGCCCCATGAGGCCTTGCGTCAAAAGTGGGCGCGACTTCCGGTTGGAAGTAAACAAAGCGCGACTTGACATACTTCACACAAGTTATAGCGAACCAAACTAGCTAACGATGTGGGAACACAACCTCAACGAAATTCAAAAGGGTGAAATAACAGTACCTTTACCCTCCGCAGTAGTTGATTGGGAGTATTATAATAACATTATTAATAATCAATACTCATCAAGGCATGGTGACAGACAGTTGTGCGAGCTGACAAACAAAATAAAAAATACACACTTAGTGTATTTTTTGTGTAATTTGTGCTTTGGAGTTTATTCAAAACTATAAATGAATGTGCTACTTGAATACATTAACTGGCACATTTGGTATTCTGTCAACACAGGCTTTGATCCTGAGTTTAGGTGTAACATCAGTAGCGAACAGCCAATCACATGCTAATCGAGTTTATAGAATATTAAGAATTTAAACAAATGTACTCATGAAGATTTGTCGTCTTTTGGGAGGTGATGGAAACTACAGTCGTTGGCAGGATCAGAGACGGGCTCTGGCAGGATCACTTTGATTTCGTTTTCAGAATGTTCATTTTCTATACGATGTTTTAATGCAGAGATATAGGTCTTACAAAATGGTTGCTAGGGTACACTGTTTGGTTGCTAGGGAGTGGCTTGGCAGCTGCCAATCATGAAGCTCCAAAGTCAATGTGAATGTATAAACCAACCCCCATCTCTATACCATGTTTTGATGCAGAGATAATAAAAACACTGGCCAAAACTCGGCCATCTTGTCCGGAGACACTGGATCTGTAGAAGTGACGTGAACAGTCTCTGGATTGGCAGAAGTGACGTGAACCGTCTCTGAAAGGCAGAAGTGATGTGAACAGTCTCTGACAGGGCAGAAGTGACGTGAACAGTCTCAGGCTCGGCAGGGCTGACGTGACGAGACTCTGGAATCTTTGCTGAGACGTGACGAGGCTGAACAGGCTCTGGCTACCGGGCCCTGGAACGACTGTCCTCTTGACCCTCCGCACTGATTTCAGCGGGGAATCTGCCATACTGGCAACCAGTCCTAAAAGGCCATAGACCGATCTGGTGGCAGGCTTAATGGTTGACGTGGCGTGAAGATTTTCAGAATTGGCAGATGTCAAACTCACAGAAAAAGTTGAGCTGCTCAGTTGCAGGGCAAAGTCAATATACTGTTTTATAGTCCAGCTAGGGTCATGCAATGGGAAGGAAGCTTAGCAGCTCAGATAATCCTCCACAAAAAAATATCATTAAGCATACCTCGTCCATGCAAGTCAGATGAGCAAGCTCCAAAATGTCCATCACATAACGCTCAATTGTTTGATCTCCTTGACGGAGACGCATAGTTTGGGCTGCTGGGTTCATTTTGGTATCACTGCTGGATCTTAGTCTTCTGTTACGAACTGCTCCGAGACATGGAGATGAAGATCCAAATGCAGCTTCATTTAAGAATAGTCATACAGGCAGGGTCAAGAATCATCAGACAGGACAATAGAGAATAAACAGAGGAAATCCAAGAAACAGGCAGAGGTCAGGGCTGGCAGCAATAATCAGAGTCCAAGACCAGCTCAAAGTCAAAAACAGAAAAACAAACATGGGAAACTGCTCAGAAATGCAGACACAAAGTACAACAAGACTTCGCAATAAGTGAATGTGAAAACCAGGTATTTATGGTGTGACCTAAAAGAGATAATGAGAAACAGGTGAATGAGATGAGTGCTGATGAGTCCGGGCAGTGAGTTTTGGGAAATGTAGTTTGTAGGTGAAACATGATGGTCAGGTGTGGAGTGCCCTGTGGAGTGTCAGAATCAGCACGGTCTGTGATTGTTGTAAAATTCTGTCTCTACTGTTGCTAAATAGTAGCCTGACTTCGTTATACTCATATTCTGGTCAGAAGATGAGTCTGAGACCGCTCTGTATGGCTTTGATTATGAGGCGTGTCTTAACCGAACCAGGAAAAAAAAAAACTCTGCACTCAATTGGATAGTTGGACAAACCTACAACCAATCAGAGCAACGCAGTAAGTCAAATAGTTTACATAGCATAGTTGTCAACAATAGAACTTACTTATTTTAGAAGTAAAATAACGAGTGTTGCTTCTTTCATTTGGTCCTTCATGAGTGCGACCAAAGGAGAACCCACAACGACCACATGCTTTTCATTACGTCCCATCTTCTTAACTTAGTGACCGTCAGAGCTAGCTGATAAGTTACATTTTTGCCGAATATCTTTCTGATCGACAAATGCCTTGATTGCAGTTTTCTGTTTGTCTATTAAAATTAATGTGCTGTCGATTAATTTTAAAAACAGACGCGACAGCTGAATCTATACATCTCAATTCTCCAGCTGCAGTCATCTCTGAGGGAAACAAGTTAGCGCTCTTTGATAACGTGATGATTTCGTCCCTGCAGATCATCTGTCCATCGTCGTATAAAGCCCGCCCTGGCAATCTGATTGGCCCGATCATTTTTTGCCTGATCATAATTAGTCCTCAATGGATCGAGTCCAGACCGAACTTCCCGACCAAAAAATGTTGTGGGCGGAGTTTGGGCTGGCATCCAGGCTAGCTAAATAGAGGATGCGTTTGATCATAAAAATGGCTATTAAAAGCACAAAAACCTGCGTAAGAGATCCTTCACAAGGCGGCGCACGCTCCGAAATGGACTAGAAAGAAAGAAAAGTATACTTTTGGCCTTGTATGGGCTAAACTAGAGATTAGGGTATTTTATTAATTCTGGACATCATATTTTCCCTTGGTCTACGGTAAAAATATTATAACATTCATGATCAATGATTATGAGCAAGGTAACGAAATCTACAGTTTAAAGCAGTAACTTGTAAGCACACAGCACAAGACAATTGTATGTAAAATCAACCAAGACTTTATTAAACTATTCTAATACACACAAACTAATCTAACAAAAACATACATTCATTCAAACAGTGACAGAAAAGGTAATGTAATTAACGGAGTATGAATGGAGTCCCAAATTTCTAGCATTAGCCACTATTTCTTGACCGCAACCTGAGAGAATCAAAATACTAGTAATTCAACCTTCGTTCGTTTGCTTAATAGGAATTTCACCAGTTTAGCATTACATTTGCATTTATTCATTTAGCTGACGCTTTCATCCAAAGCGACTTACAACTGCTGTATATGTCAGAGGTCCCACACCTCTGGAGCAACTAGGGGTTAAGGGTCTTGCTCAGTGTCTCGCAGTGGATTCGAACCCGGGTCTCTCACACCAAAGTCATGTGTCTTATCCACTGCACCATCACCACCCCTAGAATTAGGAGATTGTGTACTTCTGTTTGGATGCTCCCGTGAGCGCATGCGTTCCCTTCTGTGACAAGGTTTCTGGCGGGAAACTCTTCGGCTCTAATTGGCTGGCAGTCAGTCGATGACGTGTTCTGAGGGACAACACTCGATGGTGAATGGTTGGTTGGCTTTGCCGGGTGCCGCTTCGTGTGTCGGTTTCCTGGATTGAGGGTTGCTATGCAACAGAGTTTCCTCAGAGTCTGGAGGAGCTGCTGGAGTGACTCTGTGAGGGTTTTTTGAAGAGCATGTAAGTATACGCGCTGGACGATGAAAATGTCCGCACAAAATCAAAGCAAGATCAAAAGTCACTGCAATAGTTAGGCAAAAAGCAACCCAGAGCTGCTTGTCATTGGTTTATAAGTGTGTCCATCCAACTTGTCCTTCCAAGTGTGTCAGCCATTTATATTATATTGTCTTGGGTGGGGCCTACTCCCCGCTCTACGGTTCTTGCATGTAATTGGCATACTTTTCGCATGATTGTGTACTCTCAAACATCTAAGAGTTTAGTAAAACACTTCAATAAGACTTTCACTAACTTTCATAGTTTAAATACACAAGTCTACTTTATATCAAAATTCTAGAAATTGTTTACCTATCAAGTAGTTACCAAATAACATATTTCCCATAGTTGAGGTAGGAGTTAATAAGGATTTAGCTATGATAAATGTTTAATTGATATAAAGCATACATAATTCAGATCATATTATATACCTGTATGAGGCAACTTCTGGTGATTAGTTCTTATAACTGAGGTCAAAGAACCTAAGAATAGGCTGTAACAACTGTTAAACACAAAAAAAACTTAACAGGTTATATAAAACATACATGATACATAAGAAATATGTTAGGTTAAAATTGGCAGTCAATTCAGCTTATAGGAAGCAATTTTGAGGTGGTTGTTGGTTAGAAACCACGAGTGGGTTAATTTCATTCAGTCTCTAGAATTTACAGCTGCAGAAAGGAGGTGTCCCTGGTTTAAGGTTTGTGGTGAATCAGGGCCATGGGAATGCCTTAGCACCCTTCATTTCCTGATAAGGTTATGAATTTCTGCATTGGGGTCACCACAGGGTTTCTTGGCCATTTGCTCTTAAGTTTTGGGAACAAAGAGAATATTTTTCGTGCTGTCCTGGCATCGCTGGTGTAAGATTAGATAGGCACAGAAAAGGGAGAGGGGGGTGACATCTCCTTTAGCCATCTTGGCACCATGAATGCGTTTTATGACTTACTAATGGTGCGATGGGGAATCGTCCTGAACTGTGGAATACAGTGTTGTTTATTAAATGGATTAGAGCGTTGACTTCGGTTCTCCAAGTCATCAACTTTATCCATCAGGTAAATGTTGTCCTGCCCCAGCTGTTGAACACGTGTGACACACTCCTGCACATTGTCTTCTTTAGCCCCCAAGCGCTGCTATAGCAAATTGAATTGTTCTCCCAAAGTATTTAACGAGTTTTGTATGATTCCCAGACTGCTTTGAATAGGATCAACTTTTTCATCAAATTGCGTCAGCATTTCAGTCTTGATATGTTGAATGTAGGGGTGCAACGGATCAAAAAACTCACGGATCGTTTCTCGGATCAGGGTCACGGATCGGATCATTTTTCGGATCAGCAAAAAAAAAAAATTTCCCCCAAAATAACTGTAATAGCCTACTGACAAATTCTTTAATAATAAATAGACTTAACATTATGATATTCTGTTTTATTTTAACTTCACAGGGTTCCAGACTGAAAGTTGAGGGCAGCATCACCTCAAATGAGAACTCACAGCGAGTTCTACAAAAAAAAAAAAAAAAAAAAAAAATTCTGGTAGCACTGGGGCTGACAATAAATCACTAAGCTTAATTTAGGGTCTAGATGAAATGAACTTAGTTATTATCATTTATAATGTCTCAATATCAATTAATAAAAGTAGTGAAAATATCATCATACTTTTTTCATTTTAGGGCAATCTTTAAAGGATAAACAAAAAATGTGTTGGTAATCACATAAAAAAATTCAAAAAAAAAACCCATTTATTTATGATATTATTGAAGGAAAAGATGTGTAGTAGGCTACTTGTAAGCATTTGACTATTTCTTACACATTATCATATATAGGCTGATTTGTGGACTGAAAGCCTTCTATAAGTGTTTCTCCTGGTTTCCACGTCAGCTCTGTTTGATCTGATATGGTTTATAACAGAAACCTGCGCCGAATCGGAGTGTTTCTCACTGGATCTCGTGGTGTTGATGTTATTAATTCTGAGGCGAATTCAATGGATTTCTTCACTGGATCTCCTAGTAACAGTGTTGCGTGAGCGAGATCGGCCCGCGACTGGCAAGTTCGGGGCTTTATTTTGTCAATGGATCGCTGCTGCTGCTCAGACCTGCATCATTCCTAATCATAAATGAGTAGCGTATTTTCGTTCCACTTTCATTTTGTTTGCATTCGCTGCTAGGTAACGACTAACGAGTCGATAGATCGCTGATTACTCAGACGCACATCAGGTTGTGATATTTGTCTCCGTCTCCTTCCCACAGATGTTTACGCGCGCTATTCTTGTCACGGATTCATTGACGCACCGCTTTACCATGCGTTTAACGTGTGGCAAATTTACTGGTCGCACATGTGCGACTGGATGTAAAATTCAGTCGCACACTCTCAAATTTTGGTCGCAGTCTGGTCTGGAGCCCTGAAATGACGCTGGGCGTTCAAGCTTCTCCGTTCCTCCGCTCGCTATGACGAAGCTGTGCGTTGACTGAACAACATGTGCACGTTTTTTTTTTTTTTTCATAATCAATCCGCGGATCACGTGTGTGCCGAACCGAAGACATTGATCCGAACGGATCACGGATCAGTGATGATCCGTTGCACCACTAGTTGAATGGCGTCCCACAATGTTTGTAGTGAGATGTGACGCTCCTCCATTGTAGCAAAGATCAAAGAAGGAGAATTAACAAATAAAGGAGAATTAACAACCCTATGATAAGAGCAGCATGCAGATTTGAGCTTGAGACACGTTCACTCACACTGCAACCATTTTTAAAAAATGTATAGCAAACAAGTAATGATCCTCAAGTGTCTCTTAAAGTTTCCCATCAGGTCTAAAAGAAACATTAAATCATGTGACATTTCAAATGAGAGAAACAATGTGAAAAAAAAAAAGTGAAGCCACAAGTCAGCATCACTGATGAGTTCAATAGTCATTTTAAACCAATCAAATCTGGTTTGAGGAAGGTTCAAATTCACATTTAGGAAACTGGACATCTTGGAATGGTACAAATCAACGTTCGTAGAATTTTGAAGTTAAATTGAAATTAAGTTGAAAGAACTTTTGAGGAACATTATACCTTTTAAAATACATTCCTCTAACTTCAAGAAAACTGTTTTTTTAATTTTTTTTTTACGTTGCCAGAACCAACATTCTGAATATTTGGAGAATGTTCTTATTTTAAAAAGTCAGTAAGCCGGGGAACTAATTACCGTGACTGCTGTGATGTGGTTTCTCCACCGTATGGATCTTCATGTGTTGTTTCAGGTGAGTTTTAACAGGGAAACTCTTTCCACACTGATCACACGTGTGCGGCTTCTCTCTGCTGTGGATCTTCTCATGTTTTTTCAAATTTGCTGACTGACTGAATCTCTTGTCACAGTGTGAACACTTGTAAGGTTTCTCTCCAGTGTGGATCATCTCATGTGATTTCAGATGTGATGATCGACGAAATACCTTGTCACAGTGTGAACACTTGTAAGGTTTTTCTCCAGTGTGGATTCTCTCATGTGTTATCAGATTTGATAAAGAACTGAATATCTTGTCGCAGTGTGAACACTTGTAAGGTTTTTCTCCAGTGTGGATCCTCTGGTGTTGTTTTAAATGTGCAGCTGTAGTAAAAGTCTTCTCACACTCAAAGCACATGTACTCTCTCACACCAGTGTGAGTTTTCTCATGTTTATGTAAATTACCCCACACTGAAAAACTCTTTCCACACACAGAACATGAATAAGGTTTCTCTTTTGTATGAACTGTCAGGTGTGTCTTCAGGTTTGACGCCCAATGAAATGTTTTGCTGCATTGATCACATGAGAACGGCTTCTCTCTGGTGTGGATCACCATGTGAACATCAAGGTTTGTTGACCGTGCAAAGCGTTTTCCACACTGATCACACCTGAACGGCTTCTCTCCAGTGTGAACTCTCATGTGAACATCAAGGTTTGTTGACTTTGCGAAGCGTTTCCCACACTGATCACATGTGAAAGGCTTCTCTCCTGTGTGGATCCTCATGTGATCATCAAGGTGTGATGATCGTTTGAAACTCTTTCCACACTGATCACATGCGAACGGTCTCTCTCTGGTATGAACTTTCATGTGCAGCTTAAGATAATTTTTTATTGAGAATCTCTTTCCACACTCACCACATATGAATGGTTTTTCTCCAGTGTGGATTCTCATGTGAAGGTCAAGACTCTGTTTATCTGAGTAACTCTTTTCGCACTGATCACAAGCATATGGCTTTTCTCTAGTGTGGATCCACGTGTGTTTTTGAAGATGTATATTTTGTGTAAAGCTCTTTCCGCACTGATCACATGAGAACGGTTTCTCTCCAGTGTGAACTCTCATGTGAATTTTAAGAGATTTTTTTTCTGAGAAGCTCTTTCCACACTGATCACACTTAAACGGCTTCTCTCCGGTGTGGATCCTCATGTGAATCTTAAGATTTCGTTTGGTTGTGATACTCGTTCCACACTGAGTGCAGGTGAAAGATTTCTTGGCTTTAGTCTTTGAGCGACTCACACGTTTTTCTCCAGGTTTGACATGATGTTCCTCCTCCACTTCACTCAGTTCTTCACTCTCCTCGCTCTCTTCCATCGGGTCTGACATAAAAGTATTTTAATTGTCAGTACAACAAAAATAATTCAACGAGAGTAATGTGAAGTTAAATGACATGAAAAGAGCTCTGATGTAATAACAAATAGTACTTTCCATAAATGAGGTACATTAGAACATTTTAAAAATATTAAAGTCTAAATTTAGATTGAATGTCAGTTTTTGTCAAAATTGGGTTTTTATTAAATTATTATTCTATAACATCCTGTTTATCATCTCTGAATATATCTTGGGAAAATTCACTAGTTTAGTGCAGAAAAATAGCGATTTATAATGTCCATCTGAAAAGACGACTGTGTTTCTCTTTAAGAACACGCAGGCGGAGCGGAGCGGCAAAAACAATATCTCCCGTTTAGCTCTTCTTCTCTTAACACTACAAAGACAGTTCACCTATCAAAATCGAATGATACCTAACCTATAATGATTACTAAAATATGTGATATGAAAAAAGGCAATAAAAAAAAGAGCGCCAGTCGTCCCACTAGCAGGACGTTACTGTTAATTAAACCTGTTTTTCTCAAAACTGCGTTTCGGAAAATCACAGTGATCAGCCGACTTCAGATAACAGTTACAGACAAACTATAAAATAAATAAAAACAGATTTGGCTTGAACCCAGCTTTAATATGGTATCAAAACCTGTAATATGTCAAATTTCACCATGTGGTGGTGGGTTTTCCCAGATCGCATCACATATTTGATCAATGACACAATTATCTAATGCAATATTAGCATTACAAATTACACAATAGTGTCATAATGTTGATATGTTTAGATTGATATTTAATCTATTTGACTTAAAACCTTTTAATTATTACAGTCCAGTCACACTAGAACTTTAATTCCCAATGACTCCCATTCATTCGCATGTGAACGTGGGATATCAGAAACACAAGAGGAACGGCAATTATTGGTCATTTATATAATAATTTAAGTCCTTTTTAATTATTCTATTTAACTCTTTACATTATATTTTACTGGTTCATTTGGATTCCAGTGTCACTTATAATGCTGATAGGGCCAATAATGCTGATGTCACGGTCACAAACTCATAAGTCTGATTATTAGTCAAAGGTTATGACTACTGGGCGGTAAACCAGTTTAATTTTCGAGACGATATGTATTTTTCATAAACATGTCAAAATAAAAATTTGGTTTAACTTGAAATAACAGAAATAGAGGCTTTCTATAGTACATTTGAGTGTATCACAGTTTTTCTCAATTGCTTAAACACTATAACCAGGCCTTTGAACAAAAATTCCAAAAACATAACAGCGTTTATCAAAATCCACACCCATTTCACTAAACTATAAACACTCATACCAGTGCACTGCTGAAACAGCTGCTGTATCTATTCAATGGTCATGAAGAGCGCTATGTAGAGTGTGTAGAGAGCGGACCGCTATTAAATACATACACTTCTCACACTAATAGTAACAGCTTTAAAACAACAATAAATAACTGACAAAACTAACTCTTTAAAGGAGAACTCCGGCGAACAATGAACCTTTGGTCTAATAAAACATCGGTACATAGTCAACCATTCTCTGAGATTTGTTTTCATGATAATCGAATGTAAAGAGTTTTATTTCTAAAAACTGTATAGCGTATAACGCTAGTACTGGGAGCATTGACTAGGTAAAAAGAAATCGCTAGTTTATACCACTAACAAGGCTCAAAATAGCCCCACACTAACACAGTAACATAATGAGGGTCCCTGCATGCAAAACGAAGCATTGAGAACTTTGTAAGTGTACAGACCGTTTAATAAGAAGATACTTTATAAAGACAGTTCACTTCGTGTATACAGACAGGAGCCATCTTAAAAAATAGTCTCGATAAGTCGATCCCCGAATGCCGTTCATACAGTTCAGAAGTTCACTGAACTTCATACAGTTCAGATCACTCAGCACGTCGTTCGTGGTTTGACTAGTCGAGACTGTTTTCCAAAGATGGCGCCACCTGTATACGCAAAGTCTTTATAAAGTATCTTCTTATTAAACGGTCTGTACACTTACAAAGTTTTCAATGCTTCGTTTTGCATGTGGGGCTACTTTGAGCCTTGTTAGTGGTATAAACTAGCGATTTCTTTTTACTTAGTAAATGCCCCCATTACTAGCGTTATACGCTAAACATTTTTTAGAAATAAAACTCTTTACATTCGATTAACATGAAAACAAATCTCAGAGAACGGTTGAATAGATGCCTATGTTTTATTAGACCAAAGGTTCATTTTGCACCAGAGTTCTCCTTTAATAGGCCTACTGTAAATAGCATGTAGAGCATTTGATTCCCGAGATGCAGAAAACAGGATGGAATCACAGAATCCAGTCACTAATGGAACTTACTGTATAAAACGCAACCAGAATTGAATTGTGGGATGAATAAATCAAAAGAAGGGCTGTACAAATCAGATATAGATACGGACTAGTGCCTGTGAATATTAAAGCTCAGAAAGTGTAAGGCTGAAATGACCTCAGATACTTTGATCTTCTGAGATACGTGAACATGAATGTTCTCCAGCATCATGAATGAATGAAGAATAAACACCAACCTCTTTGTTCTTCAGGATCTTCAGTGTGTTTCATTCTGCAGGGTTCTGGATCACTCATGTTCTCACTGTCCTCTTTAATAAACTCAGTCTTTGCAGATTTCAGCTCTTCCTGATGCTCTGATGATCGTCTTCACTTGTAGTTGATGGGAATTTACAGCATTTATAGGGGAATTACAGTAGGAGGAGCTTCACTGATGATGTAATTGCTGTGGGAGGAGCTGATGTGCCCAAATCAAAATTATATATCACTTACTGAGTTTGTTTTAATAGGGTCAAAGACCAGAAGTTTAATTTTAGAGTGATATTACATTTATTTATTTATATACATAGAAAATCCAGTAAATGCAAGTGTAATGTTTGAAACAACTTTTGTGAAAACAAATTGCCAGTAAAATAGGTGAAATAATGTTGGATTCATTCAGCATAACATATATATGTAAAAATGAAACAGCATAATTATTTTTAAGTATAATTACTTTTTTTTAGAAACTTATAAAAGAATAGGAGATCATACTATATGTAATTATTTTTAAATGATAAAAAACTTCTTGCTGACAAAAAAAAGTGGTTTAAAGGATAGTGGCAAAAGTATTATACTGAAAATTAATAAGTATGTTGGAGCTGCACTATGATCCTAATATGCAGTTTTTGAATGTAATCAAATGATTATTGTTCTAAATATGCCTGGAAATAAAATAAAACTACTCTGCACATTTAAGAACACACACAGATAAATATAATAATGTTAGAATTAGAAATAAAACTCTCTTTACGACAGACAGATATATATATGCCTGTCTATCGTAAAACAATTTTTATTTCTAATTCTAACATTAAAGAACTGTAAGAAAAGTCATTTAAAAGCATAAAAGACAAATAAGATGCTAAGCAACAAATCCCCTTAGCTGCTGACACCAATGAAATGAGATTTAAGTGACAATTTACAGGAGATGTGAAGACAGCATAATAAGTTTAACTGTAGTTTAACTGTGTGTTGTTAAAGAGGGCAAGCTTTATCATTTAATTGAGCTGTGAATGCGTTTTAGACACTTACATTGTTCTTGCTCCGTCAGTGCAATAACTCCGTCCATGTTATGAGCCGAGTTTTTTGTTTCCTTTAACTGCTCAGTGCTCTGGTATTATCAATGGGATTACGTATTTCAGGCGTTGCTATTCACATTTAAAATCAGAATATTAGCATAGCTCACTTACATTCACTGAAATATTGAAACGTTAGCGATACTGAGACAAAACAGGAGCGCCAGTGATTGAATGTCAACAACGCGCGGTTTGAACGTCCCGCCCCCTAGCCGAACAGAAAGTTTTGATTGGTTTGCACCCAAGTCAGACCTGTCTGTTATTGGCTGAAGTGCTTCAGATCTGTCTGTTATTGGCTGAAGTGCTTCAGACCTGTCTGTTATTGGCTGAAGTGCTTCAGCGCAGTGGTTTCAGCGCCCCCCCTTTTTTTTACTGTCTATGCTTTTCCCTCATTGAGTTTCAGCGTCGAGTCTTCTGAGGTGAAGAGAGCAGTTCACGGTATTTCTCATCTTTACACACCCATCACACACACTTTATACAGTTTAATAAGAGACAGACTCAGTTCTGTATTGTTTTCATCGATCACAGCGATACTTTTGCATCTTTTCTGGCGTCTTCCTCCTGAAATAAACATTTAGTGCAGCAGAAGCAAGCCTAAGGAGAATATGTGGAGTTCATTCAGACCTGAGCGAGTGTGTGTTAGTTTGTCTGATTGTTTCAAGATAAAGTTTCAAAGTTTTATTATCTGGGAATCAGTTTCAATGTTTTAAACTGGAACAGATAGCCTACTCCTAAATGCTTTATTGAGCTTATAAGTCATATGAGGTATTAAATCAATAATACAATGCCATAGCGTTTTATTTTTGGAACAATAGTGCTTTGTTTGTGGTGTTCGATCTTTATTTTCAAAGTTTTATGATAATTAGAGTTTCTGTTATTATTTATTATGAATAATGTTATAAGATCAAACTAGCTATATTTAGATTAATTTGGTCATATTATGCTGCTGTAATTATTTATATTTAGTGGTTTGTGTAGATGAGTGTCTTTAGTAGGCCTAATTGTTTTTGTGTTATTTATGTTTTTAATCCATGGTTTAGTGAGAAATAACAGTATTGCCTTTCAGTGTAGCAGGTTTTTTGGCTTCTATATCCTGACTCAAATAATATGTTTCTAACAGCAAACACTCAGAATAAAGTGAGATGATCTGCTGATGATCCTAAATGGCTTGTTGAATGAGTGTTGATAGTCTGAGGATCATCAATATTAACAGATCTGCTGAAAACACTCTTTATTTCATGACAATAGTTCCTGTTTTCACCTCATTTATTATGCTGATGTCTTCAGATCTCCTGTAAATTGACACTTAAAGCTCATTTCATTGCTGTCAGCAGACAGCTTAGTAATAATATACACTATTTATATTATATTGTCCATGCAACATGACATCATGACTTTTGCGTAAACATACACGCCACTTTCGAGTCAGGTGGCGTGTTATCTCTACGCATTTTGAGCTATCCGTGTGTATGCGTGTATGTCTACGCCATTAACGTCCGCGTCATTCCGCGTGTCTGTACGCGCAGTCAAATCTCCAGTCATAAATGCCATTAACCCCAGTGACGGTTAAGTTTAGGGATGGGGTTGAGGTGAGTCATATCTTTTTCTTTCCTAGGATGGTAAGGGAACAGTCATAAATGCCATTAACCCCAGTGACTGTTAGGTTTAGGGACGGGGTTGAGGTAAGTCATATATTTATATAACGTTAAGTCAACGGCGTTCATAAACACGCTGAAAGGCGATTATGCGTCTTGATAGCACGCCAAAAATGGAAATACGAATTGGCGTGGCATACACACGCTACTTCATGAGATCAGTCTGGTCCATGAGCATAAAAAACAAACTGTAACTTGTATATTTTTGATTTTGGCAGATCAGCTCCTCCCACACTGTAATTATTCATCAGTGAAGCTCCTCCCACAACAATTCCACTGTCAGTGAAGCTCCTCCTACAGAAATTACATCATTAGTGAATCTCCTCCCACTGGAGTTCAGCAATAAATGCTGTAAATTCCCATCAGCTATAAGTGAAGATGAGCATCAGAGCATCAGGAAGAGCTGAAATCTGTAAAGAATGAGTTTATTAAAGAGGACATTGAGAACATGAGTGATCCAGAACCCTGCAGAATGAAACACACTGAAGATCCTGAAGAACAAAGAGGTTGGTGTTTATTCTTTATTATAACAAGGACATTTTCAGTAACTAATGTAACCGAAACTAAACAGCGCGCACATTGTTACGACAACACGCTTTGAGTGAGTCATTCAACAAACACGTTCAAAAAAGATGATTCATTAAAAGAGATGTAATGAAACAAGGTGTTAATTTATTTTTAACTTTGAGTTCCACATTTCAAGGCTCAGTTGAGCAGCAATGCGTCGCATGGGTAGCGCTGAAGCTGATGCTTCACTTATTAAAGACCAATATGGCATTGATTCAATGCATGACTTGCTGATTTTATTTCCTTTCAGGGATACAAACAGCGCGCTTTTTGGCGCCTCACGCTTTTTTTCACGTCAGTTTGGGTAACTTGTGTGAATCGTGCAGATCCAAAGAGATTTTTGTGGGGGTGGGGGGTGTCTGATTATAATTTTACCAACAGTAATTCTGGATTGCCTCAACCAAACAAGTAAATAAAAATAATCAAATCAGAAAACTGTGGGTCAAAACAGCAGTATGCGCGCAAGCATGCACCAGTTTTTCCACTAGCTCGTGGCCTGATTGGAGGTAGCTCGTCAAGGAGCTGCGCGCGAGGATGGCATGGTGCGCGCTCATTGTTCAGAAACGCGCCCGTGAGTGGATGGCATTCTGCGCGTGGATACTGTTTTTGCCCTCGTGCACAGGTTTTGAGACTAAATAAACGCAGTAGGGCCGTTCACATATTGTGTCTTTTGCGCTCTCAAGTTCGCCATTTCAAATGTAGGCGCGCGGCAAGCACTCTCATAATTGAAGCGATTTTTTTTTTTTTCTTTTCTTTTTTTTCCAGGCGCAGCGAGATGAAAACTCTTCTCCATAAATAAATCTTGTAGCAGACCAGCTAGTAGATTAGCTACTAAAACTTCTTTGTCGTTGTGTTATAGCGCAGTGCATGGATGCTTAGCAATGACAGATTTTATAAAAATACATAAATTATTGTATTATTGTATTGCAGTTGTCTGTTACATCTGGGATCATTTTAATCTTCATTCACTCCATATTTCTCTCTTTGAATTATTTTTATTATTTAGAAAACTTTAAAATGAGAGTTTTTCTTTCATTTCAGACCCGATGGAAGTGAAGGAGGAGAGAGAAGAACTGAGTGAAGTGAAGGACGAGAGAGAAGAACTGAGAGAAGTGAAGGAGGAGAGAGAAGAACTGAGAGAAGTGAAGGAGGAGAGAGAAGAACTGATGGAAGTGAAGGAGGAGAGAGAAGAACTGAGAGAAGTGAAGGAGGAGAGAGAAGAACTGATGGAAGTGAAGGAGGAGAGAGAAGAACTGAGAGAAGTGAAGGAGGAGAGAGAAGAACTGAGAGAAGTGAAGGAGGAGAGAGAAGAACTGATGGAAGTGAAGGAGAGAGAAGAACTGAGAGAAGTGAAGGAGGAGAGAGAAGAACTGAGAGAAGTGAAGGAGGAGAGAGAAGAACTGAGAGAAGTGAAGGAGGAGAGAGAAGAACTGAGAGAAGTGAAGGAGGAGAGAGAAGAACTGAGAGAAGTGAAGGAGGAGAGAGAAGAACTGATGGAAGTGAAGGAGGAGAGAGAAGAACTGAGAGAAGTGAAGGAGGAGAGAGAAGAACTGAGAGAAGTGAAGGAGGAGAGAGAAGAACTGATGGAAGTGAAGGAGGAGACAGAAGAACTGAGAGAAATGAAGGAGGAGAGTGAAGAACTGAGAGAAGTGAAGGAGGAGAGAGAAGAACTGATGGAAGTGAAGGAGAGAGAAGAACTGAGAGAAGTGAAGGAGAGAGAAGAACTGAGAGAAGTGAAGGAGGAGAGTGAAGAACTGATGGAAGTGAAGGAGGAGAGAGAAGAACTGATGGAAGTGAAGGAGAGAGAAGAACTGAGAGAAGTGAAGGAGGAGAGTGAAGAACTGAGAGAAGTGAAGGAGGAGAGAGAAGAACTGATGGAAGTGAAGGAGAGAGAAGAACTGAGAGAAGTGAAGGAGGAGAGAGAAGAACTGAGAGAAGTGAAGGAGGAGAGAGAAGAACTGAGAGAAGTGAAGGAGGAGAGAGAAGAACTGAGAGAAGTGAAGGAGGAGAGTGAAGAACTGAGAGAAGTGAAGGAGGAGAGAGAAGAACTGAAAGAAGTGAAGGAGGAGAGAGAAGAACTGAGAGAAGTGAAGGAGGAGGAGGAGGAACATCATGTCCAACCTGGAGAAAAACATGTGAGTTTCTCACAGATAAAAAATACATTTTTAAAGAAAAGAAGAGCCAAGAAATCTTTCACCTGCACTCAGTGTGGGAAGAGTTACACAGCCAAACATACACTTGTGAGTCACATGAGAGTTCACACTGGAGAGAAGCCGTTCACATGTGATCAGTGTGGAAAGACATTTATCAGGGCATCAAGCCTGAAGACACACCTGAGAGTTCACATGAAGGAGAAGCCGCATTCATGTTCTGTGTGTGGAAAGAGTTTTTCACTGCTGCAATATTTACATAAACATGAGAAAAGTCACACTGGTGTGAGAGAGTACATGTGCTTTGAGTGTGAGAAGACTTTTACTACAGCTGATCATTTAAAACAACACCAGATGATCCACACTAGAGAAAAACCTTACAAGTGTTCACACTGTGACAAGAGATTCAACCAGTCAGCAAATCTGAAAACACATGAGAAGATCCACACTGGAGAAAAACCTTACAAGTGTTCACACTGTGAAAAGAGATTCAGCCAGTCAGCAAATCTGAAAACACATGAGAAGATCCACACTGGAGAAAAACCTTACAAGTGTTCACACTGTGACAAGAGATTCAGTCTGTTATCAAATCTAAAAACACATGAGAAGATCCACACTGGAGAAAAACCTTACAAGTGTTCACACTGTGACAAGAGATTCAGTCTGTTATCAAATAAAAAAAAACATGAGATGATCCACACTGGAGAAAAACCTTACAAGTGTTCACACTGTGACAAGAGATTCAGCCAGTCAGCAAATCTGAAAACACATGAGAAGATCCACACTGGAGAAAAACCTTACAAGTGTTCACACTGTGACAAGAGATTCAGTCTGTTATCAAATCTAAAAACACATGAGAAGATCCACACTGGAGAAAAACCTTACAAGTGTTCACACTGTGACAAGAGATTCAGTCTATTATCAAATAAAAAAAAACATGAGATGATCCACTCTGGAGAAAAACCTTACAAGTGTTCACACTGTGACAAGAGATTCAGTCTGTTATCAAATAAAAAAAAACATGAGATGATCCACTCTGGAGAAAAACCTTACAAGTGTTCACACTGTGACAAGAGATTCAATCAGTCATCATATCTGAAAACACATGAGAAGATCCACACTGGAGAAAAACCTTACAAGTGTTCACACTGCGACAAGAGATTCAGTCTGTCATCATATCTGAAAGCACACGAGAAGATCCACACTGGAGTAGGGCTGGCTATCGTAACAAAATGTTCGATACCGATACCTTGACTTCGATACCGGTTCCTGAACGATACCTTTTTCGATTCCAATTTTATGTAACCAGTTTTAACAATATAATATTACCTACATTTTTATTTTATTTTTCAGTTTGTTGACTTTTTCACACTAGTGAAACTTTAACACCAATGCTAAAGTTTTCTATATTTCCCCTTCTTTACTTCAATGAGCTCATTGTTTCTGCCTTATCTTAATGCATTGTTTAACAATGAAACTGAATGAAAATTAATTGAAATGCATTACTCTGTCACCTCTGACAATAGATCATCACTCTAAATTGCAATTTAGAAACATGCATTTTCTGTAAAGCTGCTTTGAAACGATATGTATTGTGATAAATGCTATACAAATAAATGTGAATTAAATTCAATAAAGTCTACTGGGGGGCGGGATTTATGCCTTGCTTGAGACATGTAAACGCCCACATAAACTCGGTAAACACACTATTTTTAGTCAGATTAATGTACTGTCTCAACTAGCCACGGTAGTCACTTGGGATGTTTAAACATTTTCTTCATTGACTTTCTGGGCCGTCAAGAGGCAGTCCTTTAGGAGCCAATGTGGTAGTTATACAGCTCTCAAATTTAATCAAAAATATCTTCATTTGTGTTCCGAAGACAAACGAAGGTCTTACGGGGTTGGTACAGCATGGGGGTGAGTAATTAATGACTTAATTTTCATTTTTGGGTGAACTAACCCTTTAAGAATTTTGTAAGTGTTTTATTCTTGTTTATTCTTGTGCATTGTTCTAATCGTGTTATATATAATAATGTTAGTGTCTGTAAACACAAAAATAGCCTACTGTTTAAATTTGAATCATGTTTCTGTGTGTTTGTGTGGATTTAATAAATGAATGAAGAGATGCACAGTGTTACTAAATAAAAGACCACATTTTCTTGACTAGTTTTGGATATATTATACATTTTTTCATTATTATGACAGGTTTCAAAAATAATGAATGAAATAATGATAGAAATATCTCTTCTGTATTAGAAAAATAAATATATAAATAACTAAAAGAAATACCTCCATTTTCTTCCTCTTTATCCTTTTTTTCTTCCTGATCCTCCTTGTTTGCCCATCTATTTTTCGCTGTAGAGCTGATCTTTCCCATCAGTTTTTTGAAAAGTAGGACATTTTCATCATTTTATAGTCTTGTGGACACATATTTAGTATGTGTTTTGAGGCCTTATTTCACAATTTATTTATTTTTTTCAATAACCATGTGTAACCTCTCACACCCGGGTCCTACTCGCCCCGCTCCGAGCGGGCCTTGAACCCGGGTCTCCGGCGTGAGAGTCGGGCGCTCTAACAAGGAGGCTAAAGACTGCAGCCCCTAGTGTCTGTCGCTAGAGCGCCTATTGAGTTCGGGGAGTGAGGTTTACTCACACAGCAACTACTAGCTGGCCTCCGTTACACTCACCCCCCTAAACCTCACTCTCATCCGGGTCACGACACCAATGTAACCCCTCACACCCGGGTCCTACTCGCCCCGCTCCGAGCGGGCCTCGAACCCGGGTCTCCGGCGTGAGAGTCGGGCGCTCTAACAAGGAGGCTAAACAAACATGTTGTTCACATATTATGGGAGCCTTGTTTAAGATAAATAGTGTTTAATTTGGTGTACATGAGGTTGAGAGGAGTTGACTCTGGAGTTGCCCATGGTGAGAGGCGACGGGCTGGTGTGGGTTTGCTTATAGCCCCCCAGCTCAGCCGCCATGTGTTGGAGTTTACCCCGGTGAACGAGAGGGTCGTTTCCCTGCGCCTACGGGTCGGGGATAGGTCTCTCAATGTCATGTGTGCCTACGGGCCAAACGGCAGTGCAAAATACCCGGCCTTCTTGGGGTCTCTGGGAGGAGTGCTGGATAGTGCTCCGACTGGGGACTCCATCGTTCTACTGGGGGACTTCAACGCTCACATGGGTAACGACAGTGACACCTGGAGGGGCGTGATTGGGAGGAAGCCCCCCCCCCGACCTGAACCCGAGTGATGTTCAGTCATTGGACCTCTGTGCTAGTTACAGTTAGCACATAACATCCATAACGAACACCATGTTCAAGCATAAGGGTGTCCACCAGTGCACATGACACCAGGACACCCTAGGTCGTAGGTCGATGATCGACTTTGTGGTCATTTCATCTGACCTGCGGCCATATGTCTTGGACACTCGGGTAAAGAGGGGGCGGACCTGTCAACTGATCACCACCTGGTGATGAGTTGGATCCGATGGCGGGGGAAGAGGCTGGACAGGCTCGGCAGACCCAAGCGTACTGTAAGGGTTTGCTGGGAACGTTTGGCTGAATCTCCTGTCAGAGAGATCTTCAACTCTCACCTCCGGCAGAGCTACGACCAGATCCCGAGGGAGGCTCGAGATATTGAGTCTGAGTGGACCATGTTCTCCACCTCCATTGTCGAAGCGGCTGCTCGGAGCTGTGGCCGTAAGGTCTTTGGTGCCTGTCGAGGCGTCAATCCCCGAACCCGGTGGTGGACACCGGAAGTAAAGGATGCCATCAATCTGAAGAAGGAGTCCTATCGGGCCTGGTTGGCTTGTGGGACTCCGGAGGCAGCTACCGGCAGGCCAAGCGGATTGCGGTCCGGGTGGTTTTGGGGGCAAAAACTCGGGCCTGTGAGGAGTTCGGTGAGGCCATGGAGAAGGACTATTGGCTGGCGTCTAAGAAATTCTGGCAAACTGTCCGGCGCCTCAGGAGAGGGAAACAGTCCCCTACCAATGCTGTTTACAGTAGGGGTGAGCGGTTTTGACCTCAACTGGGGATGTCGTCGGACGGTGGGAGGAATACTTTAAGGATCTCCTCAATCCCACCGTCACGTCTTCCATTGAGGAAGCAGAGGCTGAGGGCTCAGAGGTAGACTCGTCCATCACCCTAGCTGAGGTCACCGAGGTAGTCAAGAAACTCCTCGGTGGCAAGGCACCGAGGGTGGATGAGATCCGCCCTGACAACATGACATCATGACTTTTGCGTAAACATACACGCCACTTTCGAGTCAGGTGGCGTGTTATCTCCACGCATTTTGAGCTATCCGCGTGTATGCGTGTATGTCTACACCATTAACGTCCGCGTCATTCCGCGTGTCTGTACACGCAGTCAAATCTCCAGTCATAAATGCCATTAACCCCAGTGACGGTTAAGTTTAGGGATGGGGTTGAGGTAAGTCATATCTTTTTTTTACCTAGGATAGTAAGGGAGCAGTCATAAATGCCATTAACCCCAGTGACAGTTAGGTTTAGGGACGGGGTTGAGGTAAGTCATATATTTATATAACATTAAGTCAACGGCGTTCATAAACACGCTGAAAGGCGATTATGCGTCTTGATAGCACGCCAAAAATGGAAATACGATTTGGCGTGTCATACACACACTACTTGATGAGATCAGTCTGGCCCTGAATACCTCAAGTCTCTGGATGTTGTGGGGCTGTCTTGGTTGACACGCCTCTGCAGCATCGCGTGGCAGTCGGGGACAGTACCTCTGGGATGGCAGACCAGGGTGGTGGTTCCTCTGGACCAGCTCTATACTCTACAGGGTGCTGGAGGGTTCATGGGAGTTTGCCCAACCAGTCCACATGTATTTTGTGGATTTGGAGAGGGCATTCGACTGTGTCCCCCGAGGCGGCCTGTGGAGGGTGCACCGGGAATACGGGGTCCGGGGCCCTTTGCTAAGGGCTGTCCGGTCCCTGTATGACCGAAGCAGGAGCTTGGTTCGCATTGCCGGTAATAAGTCAGACTTCTTCCCAGTGCATGTTGGACTCCGACAGGGCTGCCCTTTGTCGCCGGTTCTGTTCATAATTTTTATGGACAGAATTTCTAGGCGCAGCCAGGGGCCGGAGGGTGTCAGGGTTGGGGACCACGCAATTTTGTCTCTGCTCTTTGCGGATGATGTTGACGTTTTGGCCCCTTCTCACCAGGACCTTCAGCATGCACTGGGAAGGTTTGCAGCAGAGTGTGAAGCGGCTGGGATGAGAATCAACACCTCGAAATCCGAGGCCATGGTCTTCAGTCGGAAAAGGGTGGCTTGCTCACTTCAGGTTGGTGGAGAAATCCTTCCTCAAGTGGAGGAGTTTAAGTATCTTGGGGTTTTGTTCACGAGTGAGGGAAGAATGGAACAGGAGATTGACAGACGGATCGGTGCAGCTTCTGCAGCAATGCGGTCGATGTACCGGTCTGTTGTGGTAAAGAAGGAGCTGAGCCGTAATCTACGTCGATTTACCGGTCAATCTACGTTCCTACTCTCACTTATGTTCATGAGCTTTGGGTCATGACCGAAAGGACAAGATCCCGGATACAGGCGGCCGAAATGAGCTTTCTCCACAGGGTGGCTGGGCGATCCCTTAGAGATAGGGTAAGAAGCTTGGTCACTCGGGAGGAGCTCAGAGCAGAGCCGCTGCTCCTCCACATCGAGAGGGGTCAGCTGAGGTGGCTCAGGCATCTGTTCCGGATGCCTCCTGGACGCCTCCCCGGGGAGGTGTTCAGGGCATGTCCCACTGGGCGGAGGCCCCGGGGAAGACCGAGGACACGCTGGAGAGACTATGTCTCCCGGCTGGCCTGGGAACGCCTTGGTGTCCCCCCAGAAGAGCTGGAGGAAGTGTCTAGGAAGAGGGAAGTCTGGGCATCTCTGCTTAGACTGCTGCCCCCGTGACCCGGCCCCGGATGAAGCGGAGGAAGATGGATGGATGGATGGTGATTAATTTCACCTGTGCCATTAATATGTTTATATGCAACTGAAAAAAATCACAAATGTCAGGGCATGTCAAAACATCTCAAGGACCCCAAAAACACCTTAGATTTATCTGAGTTTATCTGGTTTTACTCACCGGGCTTTTTCTGAACTCAAAAGGCAAGGGCGCGCGAGAGAAAATCAATAAATAAATGAGTGCACGGGTGGCGCGTGAACAGGCTAGCGAGTTACTAGTGTGTTTTACAAACAATAATGGAAGCTGTGTAAGGTTAATCAGAAATTTTGGGTAAAATGTATTTAGTAATATTAACAACTAGATATTATGGTTAAAAACAGAAAGAAACACAAAGCTAATGTCACTTCGGAAAAATTGTATTCAAACTGGACCGCCATCGATAACCAGATCTGCTATTACTGGCTCTCATAATAAAAGTCAAAAGAAAAGCTGTATGCAATTCCTATATAAAATATTTTTTTCAAAATGCTGTTTAAATATGTACCCGACTAAGGTGAATTAAAGCAAAACGTTCAGATGTTAAGCGCACCATTTATGCGTGGCTGGGAGCAGGTGTAGATTTCTTGCGTACCAACTAACATTTGGAAAATACGAACATTTTAATGAATCCGAATATTTACGCCAGAACCACTTTACACACGATTTACACAAAAACTTGTTCTGCTTGTATTTCATAAATGAGACCCATTGAGTGAGAGAATCGTGCCAAAACTGTAAGCGCAGCTAAAACATACAAATCGGTTTATGTCGGGAACTTTTTTGCCCCATGCACACAAGTCATTCAGACATTTGCAACAGTTTATTTTTTTACACAAGGGTTCGTTTTACGCAATCAATCTGTTTTGCAGTTCCTCACTTTCGGTTGCAAATTTCTGTTCGCAGGCCTGCAATGCTTCTGGCCGTATTTGTACGCCAAAAGTGTAAGCGCAGAAAAATAAAAGTCAGAAGAATACAGATCCTAATTATTTGCATTGGCATGAAGTTGCACCTTATTCCAACATGACATCATGACTTTTGCGTAAACATACACGCCACTTTCAAGTCAGATGGCGTGTTATCTCCACGCATTTTGTGCTATCCGCGTGTATGCGTATATGTCTACGCCATTAACGTCCGCGTCATTCCGCGTGTCTGAACACGCAATCAAATCTCCAGTCATAAATGCCATTAACCCCAGTGACGGTTAAGTTTAGGGATGGGGTTCAGGTAAGTCATAACTTTTTTTTACCTAGGATGGTAAGGGAACAGTCATAAATGCCATTAACCCCAGTGACGGTTAGGTTTAGGGACGGGGTTGAGGTAAGTCATATATTTATATAACGTTAAGTCAAGCGTTCATAAACACGCTGAAAGGCGATTATGCGTCTTGATAGCACGCCAAAAATGGAAATACGAATTGGCGTGTCATACACACGCTACTTCATGAGATCAGTCTGCTTATTCGAATAACAGTAAAATACTGCTGTTTTCCTACATTTGAAAAGCGATTTACACCTTTACAAATCTTCTCTTGGGCATGCAAATTGTAATTTATGGCATCATATTACCTTCAGATCTGGGCCACCCAAAACAATTCTATCCCGAGGACAAATGTATTCCCAAATATTCAAATTCCTAGACAATGTATCTTTAAATATACCAAAATCTTTGTGCCACACAAAATTCCTCAATGTTGTTGTCTTGATAATTAAGAAAATATTCTAAGGACGAAACATGAATTTAGCCTGTTTAATGTTATGTCATATTTTAGTAGCAATTCATTTTACAGTACGTGCACTTATGTATGCTTATCCAAGAAAGTACTGGCTCGTGTATGTAAGTACATCTACTCATTAAAAGTAAAAGATCTTCCCAACTAGAGTCCCCCCAGTGAATCTCAGCCATTTCCAGACCTGGATCTAACAGATCTTCATGTGTATCTTCAGGTCACTTTTAATAGAGAAACTCGTTCCACACTGATCACACGTGTGCGGCTTCTCTTTGCTGTGGATCTTCTCATGTGTTTCTTTTCAGATTTGCTGACACACTGAATCTCTTGTCACAGTGTGAACATGTGTGCGGCTTCTCTCCAGTGTGGATCCTCTCATGTGTTTTCAGATTTGCTGACACACTGAATCTCTTGCCGCAGTGTGAACACTTGTAAGGTTTTTCTCCAGTGTGGATCCTTTCATGTGTTTTCAGATTTGCTGATACACTGAATCTCTTGTCGCAGTGTGAACACTTGTAAGGTTTTTCTCCAGTGTGGATTCTCTGGTGTCGTTTTAAACGGCACGCTGAAATGAAAGTCTTCTCACACTCAAAGCACATGTACTCTCCCACACCAGTGTGAATTTTCTCATGTCTATGTAAATTACACAGCTGTGAAAAACTCTTTCCACACACAGAACATGAATGTGTCTTCTCCTTCGTATGAACTCTCAGGTGTTTCTTCAGGCTTGATGCACTAACAAATGTTTTCCCACATTGATCACATGAGAACGGCTTCTCTCCGGTGTGGATCATCATGTGACCATTAAGAATTGATAAATGACTGAAACTCTTCCCACAATGATTACATGTGAACGGCTTCTCTCCAGTGTGAACTCTCATGTGACTCACAAGTGTATGTTTGGCTGTGTAACTCTTTCCACACTGAGAGCAAGTGAAAGATTTCTTGGCTCTTCTTTTCTTTGAAAATGTCTTTTTTGTCTTTGGGCGACTCAAAGGTTTTTCTCCAGGTTTAATATGATGTTTCTCCACCACTTCACTCAGTTCTTCTCTCTCCTCTTTCACGTCCATCAGTTCTTCTCTCTCCTCCTTCACTTCTCTCAGTTCTTCTCTCTCCTTCTCCACTTCTCTCAGTTCTTCTCTCTCCTCCTTCACTTCCATCTGGTCTGAAATGAAAGACAAAATATAATTAATTTAACTTTTGGAACATCAAAGTTAAGAGAAATACGAAGTAAACTGATTAGTAACATTTAAATGAACTTTCATGTCCTTAAAATTCTCCATGAATAAGGGAAAATGTTCACAATTAGATCAATGACACTTAAAGGTTTTTTTTTACGATTGCTATGACAGATTTTTCAATACTTTTAACAATTTTCCAAAACACTTAACACAGTTAGCACTACATCCGTCTGTGTAAGCTATACTATTTAACACATTTCTTGTTTCTTTAACACAAATTGCATACAATTAACACATATTTAAAATGCTTGACCTTCTTTTACACAAACTCAAACAAGACCAAAACAATGGATTTTTACTATTAAATTTACCAATGCTTTAACACTGCATGTCAGAACAGATAACACCCTGTTCTAAACCTAACCTTACAGGCTAAAGTCAAGGTAAACAGATGTTTATATTGTGAATTGAAAAACAAATATATCCCCTGTATTTTATTCTATTGTTACTGAGAAACAGGTGATTGAATAATGCAAATATGGGATAATGTGGCATTTCACAATTCCAGTGTACCCAGGTGAAAAAAAGTACACTAAAAACATTTTATTAAAGTGCACTTAGTACACTTCCATAATGTACTTAAAGTGCTCTATTTTCGCGCACCTACTTTGTACTTAATATACTAAAAGCTAAACTTTAGTACTTCTTAAGATAAACTTAAGATCAACTAGGTGTACTCAACTGTACTATTTTTACACACTGAAAATTAACTTAAATATATTTTAATACACTATGCAAACCTTAAAAAAAGTATTTTGATACCACTTTTAGGATAACTAAAAATCTTTGATGCATTTTAATTATATTAATAACTTACTTATTATAACATATTATAAATATATATAAATTATACTTAAGGTGTATTCCTGTCAAAAAAGTACACTAAAAATACATTTTATTAAAGTATACAAAATTACAAATACATCCAATGTACTTAAAGTGCTACATTTGCACACACTAAATAGAAGTTTTTCTTTAGTACTTCTTAAGATAAACTTAAGATCAACTTATGCTATTAACTAAAATATGCTTTTAACATACTATTTCAGCTTCAATTTTTTTTATTGTAAGAAAATGTAACCCATAGTTTAAAAGGATACCACTGATACAGCACAGGTATGTAATGTACAAACAAACAACATTCCTTTATTGAAAAATACGTAATTTTTTTTAAACATTATTCAAAGGATACCTTGTGGGAATTTCATTAGTACAAATGTATCGTAATGGACAACAGCCGTTTAAGTTAGCCTTTTAACAAGCAAAAGTGAACAACTTTCATTTTAAGTAGCCTAGGCTTATTGCAATGCTTTATAATAGTTGACAAATTTTAATAATATGTAGCAGACCCCTCCCGAATGATGGACAAAACTTTACTAATGTTGATTAAGTTTGTTGAGTCCGTTTCAATCCAATAATTATCTCAATCACCTCACAAATCACTGTAAAAGCTGAACAAAGGAAATACAAAAGCTTGCATTAAAGGGATACTCCACTTATTAAATATGCTCATTTTACAACTCCCCCAGAGTTAAACTGTTGAGTTTTACCTTTTTTGAATCCATTCAGCCGATCTCCAGTTCTGGCGGTACCACTTTTAGCATAGCTTAGCATACATCACTAAAGTGCACAAGACCATTAGCATTTCTCTCAAAAAAAATGACCAAAGTGTTTCGATATTTTTCCTATTTAAAACTTGACTCTTCTATATTTACATCGTGCACTAAGACAGACGGTGTAGTGTTCCTTTGCCTTCGCCGTGTAGTGCATTTAATAAGCTACCGACTCATCAGGATACATTTGCAAACTGTCCATTTATTAATACACTAGCAGCGTGTGCTGCTCACTAGCCAGTGGAAGTAACACTCATTCACTGCTTCATGGTAACCCACATATATAACACAAGGTTGCCCCCCAGTGGACCAAACATGGAATTACACCACTATTTAACTACATCACTACATCCCCTTTTTTCTCGGAAAACAATGCTGGCTACACATAAGACACAAAACACTAAGTATAGCTCTTAAAGTCCACATAACAGGAACATTGCCTTTTCGTTTGTATCATACATAAGCACAAGGCAAACTTATAGTCAGTTCATACAGTAGTCCTGGAACTTTACAGGAACTTTCACAATCCGACCACTCCTGGTGACCGTGGTACTGGCATTACGTAAGGACTGATCCTGTACACCCTGTGTAGACCTATCTCCCACTTCGTGTTCCACTGAAATGGTAGAGTGTGCCTCATCATTAGACTCATAATGTGCACCATCATTAGGCTCATCTGCAGGTTCCAATGTTTCTGTGTGCTTGTGAATTGTTTTCCTTAGGTGGCGCCTGTTGCGACGAAACTGACGTCCTGCTGCGTTAACAACATTGTAGGACCTTGGCTCATCTCGTTTAGACACAATGAGACCCGGCTGCCACCCTTTGTCTGTTTCAATGTGTACGGTATTACCTGCATGCAGTTCTGGCAGGGATTTTGCCCGCACATTGTAGTGACATGCTTGCTTCTTTTGCAGGGTTTGTAGAGCCTGATGAACACCTTTGGGAGTGGTTGGTCGCAAGACTTCACTGGATGCTGGTAAGGTGCTCCTCAATACTCTTCCCATCAAAACTTGCGCTGGTGAATAAGGCATGCCAGTGACAGGAGTATTTCTTATTGACAGCAAAGCAAGGTGATGATCCATCCCTGATTGTTCTGCCTTTCTCAGGACAGTTTTAATAGTTTTAATAGTTCTCTCTGCCAACCCATTTGACTGAGGGTAGGCCGGACTGGAGTGTGTCAGTTTGATGCCCCACTCAGCTGCAAATTTCTTCATTTCATAGCTTGCAAATGGTACATGGTCACACACTAGCTCTTTGGGGATGCCGTGCCTAGCATACACTGCTTTCATCTTTGCAATGACTGTGGATGCGGTCTTGTCCCTAATGTTCAACACCTCAGGAAACTTTGACATATAATCAACAATCAGAAGGAACGATTGACCTCTGATTTCGAAGATGTCTGCAGCAACTTTTAACCAGGGGAGCTCTGGTACTTCATGAGAGATGAGTGGCTCTTTCTGGTTCCTGGGTTGAAACTGTTGACAGGTTGTACATGTTTCGACCATCTGTTCAATATGTCTGGTCATACCTGGCCAATACATGAACTTCCTGGCATGAGCTTTTGTACGTTGTATACCTTGATGTGCGATATGTAGTTTCTTGAGCATCTCTGATCTCATTGTCTCAGGAATCAGAATCCTGTCAGATACCATCAATATACCATCCTGCACAGCCACAGTGTGTCTAACAGGCCAGTACTGTTGAATTGTGAAATCAAGTTGTTTTCTATGCTTTGGCCATCCTGTCTTTTGCATCTTCATAAGAAGCTGGAGAGTACTGTCTTTTGCAGTAGCATCAGTGAGCTGCTTTAACGTGTCGTCACTGAGAGCTTGTGTTGCTTCAAGTGCATATACAACTCTTTCATCACTGAGGTCGTCTGTACTTGTGTGCTGACCTTCAGCAACGGCACGTGACAATGCATCAGCAATTACCATGTCCTTCCCAGGCGTGTACTGGACAATGAGGTCATATCTCTGTAGCTGCAAGAGCATACGTTGGAGTCTCGCTGGTGCTTTGCTCAGTGGCTTCTTGAAGATAGGCTCCAATGGTTTATGGTCCGATTGGACATATACACTGTGTCCGTATACATACTGATGGAACTTTTTGGCCGAGAAAACAATCGCCAGTAGCTCCTTCTCAATCTGGGCATAGTTCTTTTCTGTCTCAGTTAAAGCCCTAGATGCATACGCTATTGGTTGCCCTTCCTGCAGCAAACATGATCCTAAGCCATCTTTGGATGCATCTGTTTGTATAGTGAGCAGTTTGTTAGGATCATAGTACCTGAGAACTGGCGTGTTGGTCAGTGATATTTTGAGTGCAGACAATGCAGAGTCGTGTTCAGGTTGCCATTGGAATGCGATGTCTTTTCTCAGTAACTGCCTGAGAGGTGTTGTAAGTGATGCCTCACCTGGGATGAAAGGAGCGAGATACCTGATCATGCCCAAAAGACGTTGTAACGATTGTCTGTCTGTGGGTGTTGGCATGTTTACAATTGCCTGTATCTTGCCATCATCCGCTCTCACACCCTGTGGAGTTATCACGTGTCCCATGAAATTTACCTTATTCACCTTGTACTGAATCTTGTCAGGGTTGAATTTCACATTGTGTGTTCTTGCTCTCTCCATAATTTTAGCAACTATGACATCATGTTCTAGTTCAGTAGCAGCGGCGACGATCATATCATCAGCTACAATATGTACACCTTTTATGTCACCAAACACTTCATTGTTGTACTGCTGGAAGACTTCACTAGCGGATTTGACACCAAATGGCAGACGTTTGAATCTGTATCTACCCCATGGTGTGTTGAAAGTACATAGCAGGGAGGAGTCTCTGTCGAGTTTAACTTGCCAGTAGCCATCCTTTTCATCAAAGATGGAGAAAATCTTCTTTCCAGCAAGCTTGCATAGTACATCCTCAGTTGTTGGGATAGAGAAGTGTTGGCGTAGAACTGCTTTATTAAGGTCGCGAGGATCCAGGCATACTCGCAATAACCCATTTTTTTTTTCAGTGATGACAAGACTGTTAACCCATGGAGTGGGCTGTGTGACTGGCGCTATGACATCTGCTTGTAACAGCTGATCCAGTGTATCCTTCAGTTTGCCCAGCACTGCTAAGGGAATTTTTCTACAGCCATGTATGACCGGGACTGCTTTCGGATCGACATGTATATGATGTTCACCAGGAAACTGACCCAGACCTTCAAAAACTGCTGAATGTTGTGCTATCAGCTCCTCTTTGGAGGTAGGA